AATAAAACACAAAAAATAGCAAAGAAGGAACCTCCCCTTCATGAAGTTGGAGGTTGTGGACTAGGATCAGTGTCGGTACTGGAAGATGGATGACCAAGGATAGCAGCTAGCGCTGGAGGCCATGAAGGTAAAACCGCAAAATCCAATGAAGCCCTCAAGTTGTAGATATGTTGCACGACTTCTCGAACCTGATCTCGTAGCTGTTGGTTCTCCTCTCGGAGACGACGGATCTCCGATGTAGGAGACGTCCCAGTACCTACCCTTCTTTGTAGCGCATGGGCGATAATTCTCCGAATATTCTCCTCTTCCACAACTGGGGCATCTCTCTTAATTTGATCCGTAGGGAGCTGCACACCTTGTCGCAAGCATAAAGAAGTGACCAAGCGTGGGTGATAAAGCTTACCACGTGTCTGGTGGGCACACTCATGGATACTGGTATCGATCAATTCTCCATAATTCACATATGTGCCCTTTAGCATGGCATAAACCAGCAGTGCCCTATTCCTGAGTGACATGCTCATCATGCTCCGTTGGCAGAATTCTGTTTTTGACTATATATAATCATCCTGCAGCAGCTAGTGAAACATCCTCGGGTTTTAGTCGTACCTGGCCATGAGTAGTCAAATCCCAAGTGGCAGAGGGCTTCCCAACACATTCTAGAGCCTCACCGAGCTGTTCTAGAGTCAGAGTCACTAACATCTTATTTCCCACAGCATCTCTGATATTCTCAATGTTGGGGGTGTAGTTGATCTAAGTGGCATCAACCTTATTTCCTTCCCACGCACTATGGCTATATGGAACCGGGTTAAACATAAACGGTTGGTACATACCCGGATTGATCATTGGAGGAAGTTGTTGAGGATTTGCAGCCCTAAACTCACTGTTTTGTGGTATATTAATGGTGGGTAGCTGCTGAAAATTTACATAACCATGTGGGCCCATCATAGGAGGTTGTGTAGGAGCTTGGGAAGGAGAAGTAGGGAGTGAAGTGTGTTGAGAAAAAAAACCATAGAAATAAACAAAGGTTGGAAATGTCTTCTTCTTCTTGGTTGTGGCTGAAAATCGAAAACAAGGGTGGTGAGGGAGTATTTTTTTTCGAAAAAACAAAGGGGAGGAAGAGAGTTGTGTGGGTTTTTGTTGAGGTGTCAGGCTTAGGCAATGGGTCTATTTAAAGCTTTCCCCAAACTAAATCCTAAATGGGAAGAGATTGAGTTTTAAGTTCAAACTAGGTTTCCTAAACCTAAAAGGAAAAAAATAAGTTTGAATTGCAAATAGGATTAGGGAAACAAAATTTGAAGTATTTTTTAGTTTAAGGAGAGATGTGAAACTTAAATCAGAAAGGATTAATGTTTGACCCAAAATAAAACCCATAAAATTTGAAAATGAAACCCAAACCATGAAGGAAAAAGATTTTTCGAAATTCTGGAAAAAACAGGGCAGGCGCCTGCGTGA